AAATCTTTATTAGATTAAATGCGAGACAGATTATGAGGAGCTGTAGATCAGAAATAGAAAGCCTGTTTTTCTTCCCTCCCCTATGCTTGCCCAGGAATGATTTTCTCTAACTGAAATACGAAAAGTAAATTGTTTAAAATATCAAAATAAACGAAGGACCACAGGAGAGGTGGTAAATCCGTTAGAGCCCCAGTGTAAAAGAGGAAATCAAGCAGGATAAGATTGTTTCATAAAACTAAATTATTTCTTTACATGAGTCTTCAGAGACAAAGATGAGAATACCCGTCCCAGGATTACTCTTCCCACATAAAGCAGAATAAGGTTAGAAACCAAGAGGTAAAACACAACAATAACAACAACAAAGCAAACAAACAAACAAAGATCAAGTTTGTGAAATTAAAATGGCAGTAAAGAAACTGCTTCCTCAAGTAAATTAAGTGCATGATGAAGATATCAGTTGTTCCTTGCAGGTCCACTTTAGGTTCTCAATGTGGTGTTGGAGGAGGCATAGCTGGTAAGGATAACAACTTATGACAAGCTCCAGATTTCCAAATCCCAGAAAAGCACGTCCCTCTTCTGTACACAAAAGGGGAAAGCTCCAGACCTCTGCAGGGACTAACCAGTGTGCCTCAGCCCTGATGCAGAGGCCAGGAACAGCAGTAAGAAAAGCCCGTGTCTTGTCCACTGCCATTTGGCTCTGGACTCATCTGCAGAAATGCTAACTACTGCCATCTGCAGCAACCATTTCTGGGGGGGGTAGAGGAGAAGTCGAGCATTAAGACAGAACAAACTCCAGCTGCATAGACTTCTGAAAAGCTGTCAACTGCCAGTGTAGCTTACCATCACAACTAAGCTCTGGACACATTTCAAGTTAGTGACTGACTCCATGATCTATCCTAATCCTTTAAACCAGCCAACCATTTAAATGACCAGACTCGATCTTGGTTCCAATAATGACCTATTAGGAAATCATTCAAGGAATATTAGGAAGTCTTTAAGGAAAAACAACACCACCACAAGAAAAACCACGCAAACAAAAACCAACAAACAAAAAAGATCAGACAATGTGTAATTCCATAAACACCTTAAGATAATTTTCTACACTATTTTAAGTTGCTTTCTGAATATTACTCTAAAAATGTGCTGAAGTAACCTGATGCAAAACAAGATGCTCTTTTTATGGGAGTAGAGCTCCATTCACATCAGTGTTTTCACAAAGTGCTTTAGGAGTGCATGCATGTACCCATTTGTCTACCTGCACCTTGACATCTTTCTGTGATGCTGTGCTGATCCTGGGATGCTTGCACTGGCGCCCAGCAGAAGCTCAGCATGGGTAGATGCAATCTGGTGCTGGTGGTTTTACTGGGGACTGAGAACAGGCTTACAACTGGATCTCATCAGAAACAGTCTCCGTAATTCCTCCCCGCCATCAGAGAATGCAGATTCTGAGCTTGTTGACTCCCTTTAGCAGGACACAGCCCAACAACCCTGGACTCAAACTCCCTGATTGCCACCTCCTTTCTAAGGTTGGTTTAATCCAAGAACCCTATTCTTTCTTCTCTTGGACTCATCCCTTTACGTCTTCCTTCTACATTGTTCTTGTCATCATTAGCACTTATTCTACTACATAGTTGGCCAGACTTCTCACAGCAGGTTGAAGCTGAGAGTTCAAATGAATGAAGAGCAAGAGTTGGATTTGATCTGCTGCAAGCTGTTTCAGATGCAAAAGGACATGAAGAAAGAGTATCACCCCACAAATTACATTGAATTTCAATCTTCTGTTCTTACTCTTTGATTACATAGAGTGAGGTCTATTTTTCAAACTTGTATACTCTTCCCCATGTCCAAATGTATTGCTATGGTTGAAGGCAGAATACATTCAGTCACCTGTTTTCTTGTGGCTAAATTGTATTTTCTGATCATTCACTGCTGGAGTGTTGCTGGGCCAAGAGTCTGTTACTTATTTTGGCACTATTTTCCCACTCCAAATCATTAATACTCACTTACAGCGTTGTAAAGTCATAATAATGCAACTGAAGTAATTGGTTACATGAATACAAAGTGTGTATACAAAGTAAAACCAACTCAGCCACTACATCTCTGCTAATGTTGTAGCAATCATTTTTCTTACTCTATCAAGTATACTCGTCCTATTCATTTCTCATCAGAAGTTCTTTGTTTCCCTGCCTCCTCTTACCACCTATTTCTCACCAGTAGCCAAAGCCTGCAATTGAAACGGAACAACTGGATATTGTAGGGTGAAAACAAAGCATCAAAACAAGAGTACATCCAAAAAAATAAGTGACAGAAATCAGTAAGTTCCACAGAAACCAAGAGAGTAGATTGCTTTCCAAACAGGATGTCTCACTTTTTTTTTTTTTTTTTTTTTTTTTTTTTTTTTTTTTGTATGGGAACCAGCACGTACATTTTAGAGGGGAGATTTCTTATATAGAAGGTGCTCCAAAATATAGCTGAACCAAAAACTACCATTCTGTTGCATGATCTACTCAAAAACTATGTCAGTGGCTTGAATTCCCTTTGTTCCAACTCTGCTTTTGCACTGTTTGTTTCCCGCTTGGCCTCCATCTTGGGCCACCTCTATATGAAAACAGACAGTTTGCACAGCACACACACACATCCAAAGACAATTTGCATTGTCTCTCTATATAAAAGAGTAATACCATCACCTCTCCTTTGGATCAGCACACGGAAGCGAAAGAAAAAAATGCTTTTGTGACCTACAAAAGCCTTACTTGAAATAATTCTCTACGACTTGAGGCCTTTTGGAATGGAAGGGATATATTGTTTTGACTTGATTAAAGCTGAAAAGTTGATTTGACATCCTGTTGTCAAGGAAACCAATTCACACACAAAAGAAAACAGTTGTGATGGTATCATTCAGACTATTCAAGTGACCTTAGAAAGAAAAAAAAGGCTTCAGTTCCAAAGATTTGTATTCAACTCACTTCACCACTGTAGAAATAAAGATCATTGCTCTTTATGCTTATTGGAAAGCAGTTTTCAATCTGGAAAAAGCAAAATGCCACATCTTCTTCCAACTGCCAGATCCAATACTTCGCTGGGGCCGTGCACATAAACACACCTACCATTTACTGCCTATTTCAAAGAACCACAGAAAGAATCACACAGATGCACAGAGAAGGAATTTCTTTAATTGACAGGACTGTGATAAACACCCCCCGACACATACACACATCTATTGAACACCAGCTCAACAAGTAAAGTTTGAAAATGCTTTCCTTCAACTACAAATCAAGCTTACCTCAAGCACAGCAATGTATGAGCCTAGCTTCGTTTTCCTGAGAGATATCAAAAGCAGTATTTATTCTCTGCCAATATCCTGGATCCCTCACAAATTAAATTTTCCAAGCACAAAATAAAGGGTATGCGGTTATGCTCAATCTGCTTACTCCTCCTACCTACTGGATCACAGGGAAGCAGAGCTGTCCTGGCTGACCACTACCACCACCATCCAGCTTTGCAGCCCATGCGGTGTCCCGGAGGTTTCACTCCCTGTCAACTATGGGTAGATGGGAGAAATGAAACTTTCTATCTATCCACTCACAGATGGAAATTACACACCTCTTTCTCCCATGACATTGCCTCTGCCTGGCCAAGCGGACAGACAGATGACTAAATAGCAACTTGTCTCAAGTTCAGCTCAGATAAAATAGGCACTGATATTAATAAGGAGGGAAATACACTGAGCAATGAATGCCACTGTTCTTGCATTATTGTCATTTAAGGGCATCACACCAAAGGTCACAGAGATAATAAGCCTCAGTCCTTTTGCATTTGTTACACAACATACAAATTGCCACAGTGTTAATGAATATATTTCTCCATTCCTGGCCAGCTAAGACAATGCATTATTTCCTCTTAGACAAGTGCCTAACCCTTGGAATTCATTATTTCTACTGCTTCTTGCAGCACTTTGTCCTTAGGGCTGAGCATAAATGCCACAAGAAGGCTGTGACTGGAGCATCAAATGCTTTGTATGGCTGAGTCTGACTTCCTTTTGATAGAGCTTTTTTGGCTGGAAGAACATCCAAAGTGTGTTTATAGTATTTTTGAACAAATACAGACACACACTCATATAAGCTCTTTTACAGAGTTTCATAAACTCCTAGAGAACACAGGAAAAAATTTTCATCTTGTCTTTACTTCATGGACATTGCTTGATACTTACCTATTGAAGTAATAATTATGCTAGAAACACCAACTCACCAAAACAATAGAAGTTACCGTGAAATAAGTGCATTTCCACTTAAAGCAATGACAACAGGAAAGTAGTTCTCAGAAAAGGAATAAAGATCACAGAAATGTGGAAGTGCTGGATGAAGAAATACACTTAAAACCTCTTTACTCTGAATAACCTGCTAAGGGAGCACAGCTGAGTTATAGAGAAATGAATGCCTCATTTCTAAACTGTATTTCATTGTATTTTAAGTTTAGTATTTTTGTGTAAAGATAGCCAGCTATAGCTGAACCAAATTCTCACTATTTCATAAACTAGGGTTTTGGTTTTGTTTGTTTGTTTGTTTTAAGACATTAAATTATTATTTCCAATCTTCACATAAATATATAGAATACATTATAATATGTTGTAATTATATGTATATATGTTGTAATTATTTAATTATAAATGTAAAGAGAATATTGGTGCTGGTAGCTTTGTATAGTTCTGAAAAAAATAAACTTTAATTAATAATTAATTAAATTATTATATATATTATATATAATTAATAATTAATATTGGAAAGGAGTCCAGCACTAAATGCTGAACTAAAGTAAACCAAGGCTACTTTCTGCATGTGATCAAACAACCTCTACCTCTATCACCCAGACTGAAATACTGCACTCTGCATTTCAATGAGCATCTTATTGTGGTATATTCTCCTCTCCCACCCAACAAACCCAAACCAAAGCAAACAGCAAGACCCACAAAAGCAGATAGCTGAAGGTACAACTAAGCTTACCCACAAACAGGTCCATACTCCTTTATGAGTTTTGTATGGTTTTCCCAAAAGCCCTGGGTAAAAGAAAAACATCACAGTATTTTAGAACAGTGCTTAGCAGAAACCCAGAAACCCTGTTACACAGTATTGCTAACACTCACATCAAAGCTCTGAACCTCAACTAAGAGAGACACTGCATTAGCCGATAATCTCATCTTTCTCTTATTGTCCATCTCTGAAAGGGGAGTCTACAAATGATGATTGAAGGAAAAAGAAAATCTGGAAACCCATTAATATGTTTTCAGAGCTTTACAATCTGAAATATGTTACCATTTCACAATATTTTTGATTAATTTCATGATCAGAGTCCTGACTCATAATCTTATTCTGATACGTGTGTGGATGGAAAAACTGACATAGAAATTAATAACAGAATAAGTATGACTTATAACACACTAGAGAAACAGAGGGAATGTTGAAAAGGTTGTGGGTTGTTTTTTTTGTTGGTGGCGGTGGGGATTTTTTTTTTTGAATAATGTAACTAAAAACAAAACAACCCAGCAAAATTGGAGTTTAGCACAAGGCAGTCCCCTGGGAGATTCTGCAGAATAGTAAGCAGATGTATTTTAACAAACTTTTAGAATTTTCACTGTGTTTCATTTTCATAATTGATGAAAATTGGTATCCATTTATATAAACATGTCTGCCTCTGTGCTAAATTGTTAGTGTCCTAAATGAATTTAAATTGATTAATCTGAAAGAAGGTGTGTAAAAATTATCCCCAAAAGCGAATATAAAGAAATCTGTTTTAACAAAACTGCAATACTTGAAAATCATCCTGCATTGTGTTTGTAACTTGTCCATGGAAAAATAACATATTTGACTGCATTAATCTGCATTTATATTAATTCAAGGAAGGCTATTATGATCTATCTTCATTCTTTAGAGAAAACTAACAAAATAGAATACTTAGGCCTGATATTGAAGCTTACTTATTTTTAAGACATGCTAAAGAATGTTAGCTAGAACGATATGAACCGTTATAAATACATAAACCACAGTCATAAATAAACAAGACCGCGTAACCTGTTAATGCACTGAGAGCATTTTACCACACTAAACAAACAAAAACTCTGGTAATCAAAAGTAGCTGCCCTGCTTATCACCCTCAGGTGTTAACTGAGGACCCAAATAAGCAAACTACGTGGCCCAGCTCATCAGCCCACGCTGGCCACATTGCTCAGGAAAGCATCCCCAGCCCACATGAATACACCAGGGCAGCACGTGAGGTAAAGCACGGCAGTGGCATGGCAGAACCAGGCCTGTGCTCAGCCCGCTTTCCTCCTGGCCTACGCCTTCATCAGGGAGGGAGACCCCGAGCTGCAGCCCAAGCCCCCTGGCTAAGCTTTGCCCTGGACCACAAAGACAGGAGCACGTATTGCCCTCCCTGCACCTACCAGCTGCTCTCTTTATTTACAAGACACCTGTGCTTTAAGCAATTCAGTGAAGAAACCTTCCAGAAATCTGACTTCTTGGAAGCACTTCTGGCTCGCTACTGTGGCGTCAGGCAGAACACGTTTCAGAGCAGGCCTGTTAACCAGTAACTGCTCTTCCACCTCCGGGCCTCCTAAATGAATGCACTGAGTTAAAATTAACTTATTTACCTATTTTCCTCCCTCCACAAAGTGAGAAGTGCAAATCTGCAGGATGGGGGGAGGAAGGGAGTTGAAAAGTAATGAGGAGAGGCCACAAAAAAGCACCCTTGGGAGCAGCAGAAGCCCCTGTTCCCCACAGCCCTGGTCACTCGGATGTCCTGCCCTGCTGTGCCTGTCCCCACCAGCCACTCTGCCTTGGCCCTGCCCTGAGGGCAGGTACAGTGTGGTGAGCACCCAGCTGCACATCTCACCAGGTGAAACACCAGCACATTGCATGTGAGGGACCCTGAGAGGTGTCGGTGGCCAGAGCATGGCCAAGATGTGTGTGCATCCCTGTCTGCAACACAGCGGGACAAGGCCAGGGATGTGGTCCAGAGATGCTGTTGAGAGGGAAAGAGAAAGCAAAGGAGAAAGGTGGAGGGGGAAGAAGAAAGTGTTGATGAAGAAAGCCTCATTACAGTTGATAGAAACTTCAGATTTTTTAGTGTTTCTTTTTTATTCAGTTATAATATGCAACTATAAATCAAAATCAACAGCCTTATCTGAAGTCCCTGCAAGATTTTTAGGTAAAGCCTGGCAGTGGCATGGCAGAACCAGGCCTGTGCTCAGCCCACTTTCCTGGGCCAGGGGACATGCCACATCCACAAAGTCCTGACAGATTTACAACAGCATCCCTGAACATGGCTTCCAGTAGACAGGTACCTTGAAAACCTCCACTTGCGAGTCATGTTTGAAGTACAGCAAGCCTTAAAACTGCTACTGGCAACTTTTTTAATCATTATTTTACATTTTTTTAAACACTAGCCACTGTTAATCTCCTCCAGGGGTCATCATTGCAGGTTTGTCCAGGTTTACAGTTGCAATTGTACTTAATGCTTACAGGATAGCTGAACATCTGACCAATGCCAGCAACTGTTCTACACGAAAATGGAGGTAAGAGACCTCTCCTCAACTCCCAAAGACCACCCAGTGGGTGAGCACAATGATGAGGAAGCAAACTCAGAAATTGTGCCTGCTGGACATGTACCCAGTGGTTTAAATGGCCATAAGTCAGGAGCTAAAATGATGCAATGTGGGGGTTAGGGAATAGAGAACAGGGAAAAAATGGAAACAGATGTTTTTGGTTCTTTTCTTTTTTTCTTTTTTCTTTTTTTTTTAATAAAAGGAAAACAGAAAGAAACCAAATAGCAAAACAATGCACTATATTATGAGATGACACCATGCACATCAGGAGGAACTATAGCACATTAAACAGAGATTGGTAACAATGAAGTGTAAAAACATAGTAAGTAATGCTGTTCCAAGACAGAAAAATCACTTGACCTTCTCTTTGTCTGAAAGCTGCAGAATATGAATTGTCATCATCAACAACAACTCAGAGAAGGGTTAGGGCAGGGCAGGGAGGAACGACTTGCTGCATGCGGCTCCTACAGCGAGGTACCAGCTTGATGACAGTGCATTATCAAACAAGATAATGCAGGAGTACGAAAAGCTTTTTTCCCCTGAAGAAAGCATATTTTATAGCATCTGGTACACCATGGAAACAGCAGCTCAAGTGGGCTGACTGCTGCACACCCAGAAGGCTTCTTTGTTTACATGGCTGGCAGTTGCCTCCCTACAGGGAATTTGCATTCTCCCCTTCCTTTGAGCATGCATCATCGGCTGCATCTGTGGGCAGAACCACTCACAAGGCCAAATCCTGCTCTTAGGGATGCAGATGCGACCCCTATGGAAGGAAAAAGGATTTGAGTTTGCATCAGCGGGAGCAAAATCTGGCCCCTGCCAACTATCTATCTTGAGATGCTGGGTATTGAAACTTCAGCCTGTACAGCATGCAAATCAAAGGGCTTCAAAAAGGGACTGGGGGGGGTGCTCAAGTACCCCCATCCTTTTTTTCAAGATTCTGCCATTCCAAGATGGATCCTTCAGCAATATCCTCCTTATTGCATATTCACCTTGCTAGTGCCTCACAGTCTCAAAAATCTGCAGCAGTCATCTTCCCTCCTTGCTGAAAATGGGTGTAGGCAGTTAGCCAAAGTTTTCAGAAACATCTAGTAGCATTACGCATTTTAATTTTTGGGGTATCTAACACATAATCATCATAGAACTGATTGGGTTGGAAGGGACCCTAAAGATCATCTAATTTCAACCCTGCCATGAACAGAGATGCAACTCACCAGATCAGGTGAGGGCCTATCCACCAGACCAGGGCCCTATCCAACCTCGAACACCTCCAGGGATGGGGCATCCAAAATCTCTCTGGGCAGCCTGTGCCAGTGCCTCACTTCCTCCTTTCCAAGTGGGGCCTCACAAGGACAGAGTAGAGGGGGACAATCCCCTCCCCTCCACTTGCTGGCCTGTTTATGCAGCTGGCCTGGGCTGCAAGCGCACACCGCTTGCTCATGTCAAGCTTTTCATCCAGCAGAACCCCCAGGTCCTTCCCTGCTGGGCTGCTCTCACTGGGTTCCCCCAGTCTGTACTCACATCTGGGATTGTCCCAACCCAGGTGCAGCACCTTGCTCTTGGACTTGTTGAACCTCATTAGATTCACAGGGGCCCACTTCTCAAGGGGACTCTTGTCCAGGTCCCTTTGGATGGCGCCCCTTCCTTCTGGAGTATTGACTGCACCACTCAGCTTGGTGTCTGCAAACTTGCTGAGGGTGCACTTGATCCCACAGTCTACGTCATTGATAAAGATATTAAACTGTGTCAGCATGGGGCTTATCAGACTTATTTTCAGTAGTTGCTCAATACCTGCAAATCTCATGAGCTGAAAATAAGGACTTATGTGACTTTAAGCTTAAACTTAAGCTTAAGGTGACCCAAAGTGCATGAAAGATGCTTTGTAAAATTTCAGCTTGCTGCAGCTGGAAAATAAATTACAGGAACGTAGCTAGAGTCTGTAAGGGTCACTAGATAAAATTGTTTCAAGGGGACTACATTGCTGGTATCCAGAAAACACTCCTGATAGTAGCTCAAAATATGGACTCTAGAAGTCAATACCAGAATGCAGCGAGGGCTACTAAGCAGCAATGTGCATCTCAACCCTGACCTTAAAAGAGCACTGGGGCTGGAAGCAAGGTGGTATTTGCACACGTGAGCACCTCTTTGCTTGAGGATGCCAGTGGTGGTGTTACCTGATGTGTTACCCACTCACAGGGATCCGGACTGGCAGCACCAACTCATTTCACCTAGGTTGGTTCACCCCAAGGCCCCTTGCCAAAACACCCTGGATTCAAACCTGTGACTTGAAAGCCAAAGATGTCACATCCCAATTAGTAGTCCCATATATGCTCCATCCCCCACCCTCACCTCCCTGTAGTCAGGAGTGATGTTCTGTTTCACTATGATATTAGCTGAAATACCAGTGTTTGAGCACCCACACCTCCTGTCAAGAGAAAAAAAAAAAAATCTATACA